CCCTGCCTGGATGCATTCTCCCTGCTTGCTCAGACTTCATGTCTTCTGCCCAGACTTCTACTGGGGCTGCCTCTACAGAGACTGACCTCCATCTAGGTACCAAATTCCACTGTGGCCAGTGCCTTCCTAACTGCTTTGACCCTGACCTCAGTGCCCTTGCTCTGATGCCATAACCAGCCACTGGTCCAACTCTGTATCAAATCATCTCCCTCATCTCCAGTTTTAGTTGAGGACTTTTGCCTATATGTAACCTACTCCCAACCCCATGCCTAGCAAACCAAAAATGGATCCCCAATCCTGATCCTTCCCAGATGTGTCCTCAACCTACCAATTACAAGCGTATTACTGGTCCATCCATTATTGGTCTTTCCTGTTCCTAATTTAGCTATCATTTAAAATTATACTGTGTGTCATTATCTTAAAATGCAGAACTGGAGATAATTCAATAAGATTAAAACTGCAGGAGAGACACAAGATCTATTGATCTTACTAAGGAGGATAAAAACACATTTCTATATTGCATTTACTTTTTTAAGGTTTTTCATGACATGTCAAGGGTGGCAAGCAGAACACTGATTTTTTTTNGGCGGGAGCGCCACCGCGCTTCCCAAGCGGTGCACTATCCAGTGCGCCACCGGGCCGGCCAATCTTGTTATGATTTTATATAACATTAGCTGTTACACATTTTATTTCTTTGTACTTTCCAGCCTCTGAAACCGTAAGAAATAAATTTCATTCCTCCATAAAGTACCCCGTTTCAGGTATTCTGTTTTGAGCAACAGGAATAGACTAATGCACCACACCGGAGGCCAGGCTAGCAGCCCGCTCTGCACTGCAGTTCTCACTGTCTCTCACCCTCACTGCACATACACACAAATAAATCCCAACCAATGCCACAGGCACCAATNGTCTCTCACCCTCACTGCACATACACACAAATAAATCCCAACCAATGCCACAGGCACCAATTACATCTTCTTTTTAAAACTTTCTATTTCTTTGAAAAATGAATTTGAATATGTTTTTTGGCCACTGGCTAATGTAAATATACAAAAATAATTCTTAAGGACATGGGATACAAAAAGAAGACTCCCAGAACATGCCCTTATGGCTACTGAACGTCCAGGGTGGCTCGGGAGGACAATGTAAATATACAAAAATAATTCTTAAGGACATGGGATACAAAAAGAAGACTCCCAGAACACACCCTTATGGCTACTGAACATCCAGGGTGGCTGGGGAGGATGTGGCTCGGGAGGACAGCAGAAAGGTGCCACATTGGTGGCAGCTGGGGTGCCGGCCATGACGTCACTGATACTCACCAGTTTGGTGATGCCACCATGCTGCCTCACTGCCCGCCGGGCTCTTCTAAACTTGGCAACATTCGCAATGGTCTCGGCTGCCAAACATTTCAGACTCTTGTATGGAGAATCAAGTATATTAACCATAATTGGTAAGCCCCCAAGGTCAACAATATTACGTCTGATTTGAGGATTATGACTGATTTCCTTCAGGATTTTTAATGAACCAATCTACATGAGGAAAAAAAGTTATAGATGAGTGAGTGCTTAATACATAACCAGTGCTATGTTTTGAAAAATTCCAAGTCTACCCAAAATCCTTCCCTAATTAAGTTTTTTAAGAAATAGTTTCCATCCCCAGGGGTTACGTATGTCCTCCATATTTTCCTCCATTTATGTAAATAAACATTCATCATTCGAGAAGCATGAGAGATGAATGGGACAGAGCAAGAGAAAGAAGAGAAACAGAGAGAAGGGAAAGCGTAGCTAATAGAAGTAGCAGGCTGATTGTCAGCAAGTGCAGCAGGTAAAGATAAGAAACAGGGAGCAAGGAGCAGCAGACACTTAGAGCAGAGAAGAGAGCCACAAGAAGGTGGGAACGAGACTCCTCATCCACTGTGACAGATTCACTCACCTTACATTTGACTTCATCTGTGTCAAGTAAATTTATTAACACTTCAAGGCCTCCAACATCTCTGATTGCCAACTGACAGGTCTCCTGAGCTAAGTTGAAATCCCTTATGGAGCACAATGCAATCACCGTGGCTGTCTGATTTCCTCCCTGTGAAGATGCAGGGCCATAGAAGGGTTAAATAAAACCACGTTCCCAGAGACACCTGCACTCCCATGTTCATTGCAGTACTATTCATAATAGCCAAGAGACGGAATCAACCTAATTGCCCATCAATGGATGAATGGATTAAAATAAAACCCTGTGGTATACATACACAATGGAATACTATGCACCTATAAAAAATAAAATCCTGTCATTTGCAGCAACATGGATGGAACTGGAGGACATCATGTTAAGTGAAGTAAGACAGGCACAGAAAGAAAATACCACATGGTCTCACTCATATGTGAAATCCAAAAAAAAAAAAAAAAAAGTGGCTCTCATAGAAGTAGAAAGTAGAGTAATAGTTACCAGAGATCAGGAAAGAAAAGGGGTTGGGGGGAGGAAAAGAGGTCAATTAATAGGTACAAAGTTACAGGTAGAAAGGAAGAATAAGTTCTGGTGTTCTAGGCTAACTAGAGGCAATAATATTATATTGCATATTTCTAAATAGCTAGAAAAGAGGATCTTGACAGTAATCACCCCAAAGAAAAGATGTTTAGGTGATGGATATGCTATTTACTCTAAGTTAATCATTGTACAATATATGCATGCATTGAAACAACACACTAGACCCCACAAATATGTACAATTAAATTTTAAAAAATAAAACCATGTCCCCACAGAAATGTACTATATGATTATGAATCTGTGAACTAGGAAATGTGTCTCCGAGTGGGCAATAATTTATTAAATGAATCATATAGAGGCAAAGCAGGAAAAAGCTGAATAGAGCATCCTAAACATTATTCCGACTGAGTAAACATTTAAAGGTGGTCTGTCTCCTCTAAACAGCAATGACACTAGGTGGTATTAGAGTATTAAAGAGAGTCAAGGGGCAAGGCTTGAGAGATCGATTGAAGAATTGAAGTTTTACATGGTGGTAAGAAATGGTCCTCCCAGTTCTTGAACAATGTATTGTGAAGGCAAACTGTGTCTGAAAATTACTCTTAGAGATGTTTGTAGAACAGGCTGGAATAGGGAGAATGTGGGGAAAGGACAACCATGTGGAGGCAGCACAGCAATCCAGACTGGGACCGAGAGGAGGGTGGTGAGAGCTGTGGGGCTGGCAAAGAGGAGGCAATTCAAGTACGACCTGGAGACAGACCAGAAAGGAGAAATGAAGAAAAGGAAAGCTTCACCGCAGTCGGTGAGACGTCTGTCCAGCAAGTCGAGGTCTACCTGGCTAATCAGGTAGACATTGAGCAGATGAGCTACTCCCTTAAGATTAAAAAAACCTGAGAGATTTAAAAAATTAATGATGGGACTGGCCAGTTAGCTCACTTGGGAGAGCATGGTGCTGATAATACCAAGATCAAGGGTTTGAATGCCCATACCAGTCAGCCACAAAAAAAAAAAAAAAATGTTTATTGCAGCACTATTTACAATAGCCAGAGTTGGAACCAGCCCAAATGTCCATAATGAGATAAGTGGGTAAGGAAATTGTGGTATATCTACACAATGGAATACTACTCTGCTATAAAAAAGAATGAAACACTACCATTTGCAATAACATGGATGGACTTGGAGAGAATTATATTAAGTGAAACAAGTCAGGCACAGAAAGAGAAATACCACATGTTCTCACTTATTTGTGGGAGCTAAAAATAAATAAATATACAAACAAATAAATGGTGGGGGGGAAGAAGACACAACAATCACAACAATTCCTTGAACTTGTTAAGACAAGTGAACGGATATGATATAGTTGGGGGGAGGGGAGAGAGGGAGGGGGAAAAGAGGAACTGGTAAAGGGTCACGAAATTCAACTACAATGTATATTGAGAAGTTAAAATAAAAAAAATAGAAACAAAACAGAACAACAAAAAAAATTTTTTTAAATTAATGATTGATAAGTGAACTAGACCTGCCAGGAAATTAAAATCAAAATTCACTACAGGAATTCTTTAAAAACATCTACTGGTCATTACTGCTTTGAAAATCTGAAAAATATCACATAGTGCATATTGTTGCTACAGCTATTGAGGCTGGTTGGCAAATAAGAATTCTGAAATAAGCAATGAAATAGTTCATTAGACACAAAAGCAATATTTCTGTTGGGGCTAAGAATAAACTATTTTTGTAAAAGGTGCTCATAAAAGACAGTCTTTGATTCCTACCTCAAAACATAATACCAATGGCCCCAAATCTCTCTTTTTTAAGAGAAGACACTTTCAAATTATGTTTATTATCATTTGTTAATTATTATTTCCATACTTTATAAAATAGACAATGTATATTTTTATATACATTATAAAATAGATAATGTACATTTAAGGGGCCTTCAAAAATTCATGGAAGGATTTGCATTATCTTTAAATTCAATTCTTCCATGAACTTCATTATGAAGTATCCTCATACATTATCTATTTTATATGTATATAATATATAATATATAAATATATAAATATGCATATGTATTAATAACTAAATATATTTAATATAAATATAATAAGTGTAATTGAAATATAAAAATAATATATTTGTGTTATATGTATTTTATATTGTTTATATATAAATATAAATATTAAATATATATTATATAAATATAAAAGTTAAAATGAAAAATATATTTATATATAAAATAAATGATACATATATAGTAGGTTTAACACAGAAAATGGAAATTACATACAATCTGCCTAGCCCCTTCCTCCTTCCTATCACACACATGCACATACATAAATCCTCTTGTGAATTCAATACAATATTTTACTTTAAAATAAGAAAATGAAATGGGATTAATAAAGGACATGCATCAAAAAGTAAAGATAGAAAGGTTTAGACCAGCTTTTCCTCTTCTTTTAAGAAAATTCCTTCCACATCTCTAGAAATGTTATGGACTATCTTGTGGTGATGTCACTGACGATTTCCATCTTTTATACTAATCCAGGCTGTCCTCTATATTCAAGATTAAGTTTAGAATAACAAGAGCCTTATTTGTATTATTTACATTTAAAATAATAAGTTATATTCTTTTTTTTTGAGCTCATTGTTATTGAATCAATTTTATTTTATTTTTTTAAATTTTACTTTATCAATATACCCTCATACACTGTTGGTAGGACTGCAAAATGGTGCAACCTTTATGGAAAATATTATGGAGGTTCCTCAAACAATTACAGATAGATCTACCATATGACCCAGATATTCCTCTGCTGGGAATATACCCAGAGGAATGGAAATCATCATGTTGAAGGAATACCTGTACTCCCATGCTTATTGCAGCACTATTTACAATAGCCAAGAGTTGGAACCAGCCTAAATGTCTATTATCAGATGAGTGGATAAGGAAACTGTGGTACATCTACACAATGGAATACTACTCAGCTATAAAAAAAAGAATGAAATACTATCATTTGCAGCAACATGGATGGACTTAGAGAAAATTATATGAAGTAAAATAAGTCAGGCACAGAAAGAGAAATACCACATGTTCAAAAAAATCACTGCTTATTTGTGGGAGATAAAAATAAATAAATAAATATGCAAACAAACGGTGTGGGCAGGGACAGGGAAGAAGACACAACAATCACACCAATTCCTTGAACTTAAGACAAGTGAACAGATATTGGTGTTGATGGCAGGGAGGGGGCAGAGGGAGGGGGAAAAGAGGGATTGGTAAAGGGACACGAAAATCAGCTACATCATATAAGTTATGTTCTTAACAGCTTTTAGTGTCTTTTCTCCATACTATCAAGAGAAATGTTAGCACTACCAATTATCTTACATTTAAAATAATAAATCCTCTTTATTAATGTTGGGTTCATAAACTCCCTTATATGGGGGCACAGAACTCCTACAGGCCAGCACTTGCCGTTTCTCATTTAGAAAAACAAAAGGCAGATATTTTGTAAACCATAAAGAAGAATGTACATGATAACTATAATTAATGAAAGGAAATGAAATAATACACAAAAAAGGAAATAGCCAAGAAAATCAGAAAAACAATTCATTAAACAAGGCTTTTTTTTTTTTTTTTTCTGAATAGAAATGGTTAAAAGGTGCCAGAAAGTTCCCTGGGGAGTATCTGAAAAATCAGAGCTGTGTTCCTGATGAAGAATTTGAAAATCCACACCAAGAGCTTCAGGTAGACAGAGGCTTTCGACTTAAGCGTGACTGGAAAGCGCAGAAGACATCGAACAGGGTGTCATACCCCATTCAAGCCAACAGCCTCCTCCCACCCCAGGTCCAGCTCCCTGAAGAATGTACAGCCCTGACATTCATAGTTGCGCATGACCGCAGGCTTTCTTGACTATTTTTGCACTACTATATAATATTTTCTTTGGTAGCGATTTCTGCTTATATACTCAGCGCAATCTTTGTTTCCCATTTCATGTTGTCTTCGTTTTTCTCTTCTAGACTATTTCCATTTTTTGAGCTTTACTTGATTATTTATGCTAAAATCAATGACATAAAAATTTTTTTAAGTCATTTAATTGTAGCAGATGCCCAAAAGGTAAGCGTTTATATTTTTTTGATTTATCTCTAGGTCAGTCTTCAAGGCAAAGGACTGACAATTTACATTTATCATTAAGTAGTTAGATCCTTATAGAAAAAAAGAATTCTGTAAATCAGCTTCTTCTGAAAATCTGGAAACATAGTCATAGGCTTGAGGGATTTTTTTTAGAACGGTTTTATATTAGGGAAAGTTAGTTTTTCCACATTTCAGGATTTAGTTCTACTCTTGTCACTGACCACACTCCCAAAAGGATTATAAATCTTTCAGAATGAATACCAGAGGACGGGGGCCAAAATATTCAACATACAGAGCCACAAGTGTTAGCCAATTGCTATTCTTTACATACCAGCTATGTCAAAGGATTTTCAAATGTTCGTTCTGTTTTGACCAGATGCCATAAATATCTAACCGAGGAGAAGCAATGCAAATATTCTCTTTTTTCAATTAAATCTCCCCCGAGAACGTAATTAGTTGCCAGCACTTATTT